GGATTGTTTTGCTGGGATGAGTTCCATCTATCAAATACTGGGAAGAGTTTCTTTTTACATTGTCTGACTAACCTGATAAAGAAAGGTTTACAATAGGTCATATAAGAGATTGTGAGAAAAATCCAGTCTAGGCTCGATTAATAAGGACAAAAGGAAGGGAGTAATTTTGGGAGAAGGGTCTGGAAAGGCACTGTGGCTACATGTGATACTTTTAGCTATTCAAAAAGGTAAAAGGGACACACATAGGAAAAGGAAGAAAGGGCATGTCTCTATGGAAGTATATATAGAAATAGCAAAAGCAGATTTGGACAAAATCAGGAAAACAAAGGAAAACATGAATTACAACTGTCAGAAATATTGGAGATAACAAGAAGGGGTTCTTCAAATATGCCTGATAAGAAAGGAAGATCAAGGGTGGCTAATGGAGAAGTTGATCTCTAAGAGAAAGTGATAGGAAGGCAAAACTTCTCAGTGCCAACTTTGCTTCAGTGTTTTCATAAAAAATAACATGTGACCAGACAACCAAAATTACTAGACAATAAAAGGGGAAAGGATGTAGATCAACGAAAGTAAAAGAATATGTCAAAAGTCTTCTGATTAGTTTGAGTGAATTCAAGTCAGTGGATTATGCAAAGGTACAGAAGGAATTAGCTGAAGAAATCTTGGAAGCACTGGCAAGAATATGTACAAACTCATGGATGACTGGAGAGGTCTCAGAAGACTAGAGAAGAGCTAATGTTTAGTGCCCATCTTTAAAAAGGGGGAAAAGGAGGAGCCAGAGAACTATAAATCGGTCAGCCTGAGTTCAAGAACTGGGAAGCTACTAGAGCAAAGTATAAAACATATTATTTGTGAATACCTGGAGAACGAAGGAGTAATTACTAGCAACCACTATGGATTTATCAAGAACAAATCAGCTTAATTTCTTTCTATGACAGAATAACTAAATTTGGTGGATGGGGTAATACAGTGGATATAATGTACCTGGACTTCAGCACAGTTTTTGACATGGTCCCACATGATATTTTGATAGGTAAGCTGCAGAAATATGGGCTTGGTGGAACGACCATTGAGTGGATATGTAATTGGTTAACCAACTGTAAACAAACTTTTAATTGTATGGTGTCAGATTGGAGTCAGGCCATAGGGATCTTGTTCTGGATCTGATGTTGTATAACATCTTTATTACCTGGAGATAAGTATGGAGAACATATTGATCAAGTTTACAAATGACATAAAGCTAGTGGGTGTTGCCAAACTTAAAATTTGAAGGATTCTTGTTAAATCAGGGAACTGGACTATAGATAACAAAATGAAATTGAACAAAGACAAATGTAAGGTGTTATGCTTAAGAAAAAACACATGCATAACATGGGGTAAAACTGACTTTTCGCAGCAGCACTGCTGGGAAGAATGTAGGAGTTGTGGTGTAATGAGTCTTCAATGCAATACAGTTGTGCAAAAAAAACCAAAACACAACAAAAAGCAAGAAATGCAATTTTAGATTGCGTTAACATAGGTATAGCATTGAAGTCATAGGAGGTGATAGTACCACTCTACTTGGAACTAGTTCAGGCTTCATCTGGAGTACCATGTCCTTTTTTGGTCACCACTATAGAAAGTATGTGGAGAAGCTGGAAATGGATGGAAAGAAATTCATATGAGCAAAGGCTGAAGAATCAGGGTCTGTTTAGTTTGGATAGAGGAGGACACAACAGTGGTCTTCAGATACTTGAAAGGCTGGCATTAAAAAAAAGTTTTTCTCTCTTACCATAGCAGGAGTCGAACCAATGAGTTTAAACTACAGAATATCAGATTAAATAAATTTCAGGGAAAACTTCTGAACAGTAAGAACAGTAGGACAATGAGGCAGACTGCATTGAAATGTTGTAGAAGCGTCTTCATTGGAGGTTTTCAAAGGAGGCTTGTTAGCCATCTCTGTTTGGTTTAGAACCAAAAAAAACCCCACGTCTTGGCAGGGTATTAGACTAGATGATCCTTGTGATCACTTGTATCCCCATGGTTCTGTGAAAATTTGTATGAGTAAAGTTGAGCATAAGAATATAATTGTCTATGGCTGTGGTTCTCAACTAGTGGTCCACTGGTGGTCCATGGTGACTTTTTTGGTGGTCCACAGGAACATTGTCAAAAGTCACACAGTGTGAGCAGGGGCTGCCGTTAGGCTGTTTTACTCCATGTTCACAAGCACGCAGTGCATCATCCATAGCATCACCTAGGACTCAACCACGTTGTATTGCCATTAACTTCCATCTGAGAGTCTGTAGCTGCCGTTGTTGTGCTGAGCGGTTGCTATGTTGTTCGTCCTGTGCTACATGTGCTGTTTTACAGGTGTGGTGTAGTTTGTTTGTAATGGCAGTGACAGGAAGAAATGTCAAGCACAAATATTCAGAGGACTACATCAAATTCGGCTTCACTTGTCAAGAAAAAGGCAGCATGGATTTGCCACAATGTGTTGTTTGTTTCAAAGTTTTGGGGATGACTCAATGAAGCCAGCTGAGCTGAAACTCCATCTCGAAAAGTGTAACCCCAACTTGTGGCAAAAGGATGAACATTATTTTGAGTGGTGGTTATCAGGTCTGAAACGGCAGCCCCTCGACTCAACAAGTGCATTCTCAAAAAGGAGGTGGTCCACTAAAATTTTTTGATTGTCCTGGTGGTCCGTGGACTGAAACGAGTTGAGAACCATTGGTCTATGGGATCAGGGTGTGCTGAATTATAAATATTTGGGGCAGGAACTATGTCTTTCTCTGTGTATAAGGAGCTTCTTTTACTATTTTGCACCAATCCGATTTGAGATGTCTGGGCACCACCACCACTATAAGCAAATAATAAAAGTGGTGAGGAAAGGAATGGGTTAATGTGGTATCATGGAAATGCACAGTTCAAATATAAACACATTGATTTGGTCGTATAAAATGTATTTACAGATAACTTAATCTTGTTAATTAACTTGCAAATTGGCGTCACAGCAAAAATGAGTTTATAGTAAGAATATGAATTAGGAGTGTATAATGCCATTGTGTGTAGTGATTGGGAGGATATCCCATGTCTAGGGAGCAAAATGGGAGAAAAAAGTTATCTGGAGGCAGAAGTTGGAAGAGAGAAAAAGAGGGCATCAGAGTTGGTGTCACTGGCATAGTAAAGGGTAGGTTATGTAAAATCATTGAGATCAAGGTGTGTTTGCTAAGAGTAGTGTAGGACCTTGAAAGTGAATATAAATGTAAGCTGATGTGTGGGGACCTGGAAGTCAGTCAAAAAATTCTAAATGGATGATACCATGATCTAAATGATCAGTATGGAAAATAATTTTTTGTGGCATTGATGGGATTTTGGACAGATTGTGGGGACTGATGTGGATGTCAGGAAGAACAGATTACTGTGTTCAATGCAGATGATTGGGATAAGAGCAAGAAAGTGTAAGATTTCAAGATCGTTTTGGAGCAAGAAACTGAAGGATGATACTACTATTTCTGGTTTTCAGTGGATATGATAAATTTATTGTGTATAACCTATAGATACTACCTGACATTTAAAGATAAATGTAAACCCTTTCTACTGATGTAATTTGCTACTTACCTGCATTGTGTTCAGTGGGCTACAAATGTATTTTTATATCATTCCCAGAAGTGCTGTCATTGAAAGCAGATGTGCTTGGGAATGAATTAAGATAATGTAGTGAAAAGGAATCAAATCTGAGTATGTTTGAAAAATGATAGTGACTATATTCAGTGAGTTCTAAGTATGAAGTGTGAGGGAAAAGCTCATTTCTGATACTTTGATTTGCTGATATATTGTTAGTATGAGTGTTTTTACATTAGTTTCTTCTGGTAGTGTAACATAGTAGATGTTTCATTTAGTGTCTCACTACATTTTTAAGAATAAAATATTTGAAAATTATTCCATTTATGAACATTTCCCTCTACTGTAGTAATGTTAAACTGCAAAATCTATAACTAGTGTGTAACAATTAAAAGCACGGCATATATTAATATTTCATAATTACTCGTACATAGTTTATTTCCCTTTTATTACCTTAAATGTAGTAAAGATCAGAAAAAATACTGTTGGGACTATACGCCAATAAATACCTAAATGCTTGGGAAATGTTCAGATATGCTAGTGGTGGGTGGATCACACCTATCTAGCTAGAAAATAAGACTGGTCGATCTGTGCAGTGGTTACGGGAAAGCTGAAGAAGTAGGGTAAGAGAGAAGTAGCTGGAAAAGCATTAGTGCTAAACAAGGATTGGTAGTGAATAAGGATCAACAATAGAAGTGGGGGGAGAACTTAAGGGAGGCTCTTCAGTAGCAGTTTGGAGCATCTGAGGTTGAGTTGGACGATGGTGACAATAGCAGTTGTGGGAGAAAGAAAAGGTGGAGACAGCATTAGTTGAAACATAGAGGAAGCTTGTGCTTTGATTCATATTTAATATTAAAAACCTCTCAGGAATATTTGAATTATGGAGCAGTAATACTATTTGGGAGTTCTGGGGATTAGATTAACTATTTGAGCTTTGCTCTTGTGTTTTGTCATCACCAGCACTCGCCAATGGACTATATCTTTATAATTCATTTTCCTGTTCCGTATTTTATACACACCGTGTGGTTGCTGAATATGTGCCCGATGCTTAGATTTACAAGAGTGAAAACACCAAGTACTATTTTGGTGGGAACACAATAGTATAACCAGTAAGTTATTGTTAAACTTCTTACATTTTTTAGATAATCAGGATGAAGGTATGAGAAGTCAGTAATTCTTTCTTATAGTGCATCATGTATTTGTTTTCTTTTAGGCAAATGAAAAGTGAATTTTCTTTTGATATCCAATCATTTATAACCTAGTGATTTTTTTTTGTTTAAGTTATGATATGAGACAAGTATAATTCAAGTCTTGCAGCCTCAGCCCTCAAATTTTTTTGGTACTGTTGCCAGTAGTGTGCACTAAATTACTCTCTATTTTGCTTTCAATTTTTAAAACAGGACCAAGCGATCTCATGTTCCACAAACAGAATGCATATTTGAACTTCCAAATCTGACAGTTCAAGCAACTAGAGCCCAGACGCTTCTGCTACAAACCATTTATCAGAGCTGGTTTCATCATGTTGGAAATATCAGTTCTGCTGTGGTAAATGAAGTTTTGCTGAATGAAGTCTTCCAAACATTAGGTAAAACATAATAATTCTAACAATTATGGTAGAGTAAAATCTCTGTGTAATATAGAGCACTGCTAATAACAAATGAATACACATACATCTCCTTCTTTTAAATCCAGGTTATATCATACTGTATTTAAATGACAATGTTTTTGTGTGCATATTGTATTTATAGTATATGCTTAATATCCAGGATGTAATCTAAGCCACCAAGCTTCGCTCCCTGGCACCAGTTTCTGGATGCATTTAATATTGCAATACAGAATAATTTTTCCATATTTCCTTTATCATTTGAGACATTCAGCCTCATTGCTTATACTGTGTAATGTAGTAACTTAAGATCTTTCAGAGGTGAAGTTATTGAATGAAATATAAAGCAGTAGATTTAAGGGCTTTATTCATCAAGGACATTTTGTAGAATGCAGATGTGGATTTGTGCAAAACGGCTCCAAATGTTCTTCATCTAAGCTAATGTAATCAATAACTGTTTTGTTGACTTTTCTGAAGTAACTAAAGTGATGCAAATCCAAGAGGTGGAAGATATAAAGGTGCTGGTTATTATGTATTCATAATGCAAAATAGGGAAGGTTTTCAGGAAAAAAAGTTTTGTGCAAATCAAAGACTGATTCTGCAAAGCTCATGCTTATTATCCATCTTTACACAGCTGAATAAGTATGTATTTAAGTGTTTGTCTGAGTTTGGGCCTTGATTACTTCATAGACAATTCAGGTTACCTTATACAAGTTTACTTAAATTCAAATACTTGGTGGCTTTGGCAAAATCATGAGAGTAATTCTTTTACTAAGGAATTTGTATGGCTTTGGCAAAATCATGAGAGTAATTCTTTTACTAAGGATGATCGCTTTGTATTGGTTGAAACTCTCTAAAAACCCTGGTTTATTTTTCTAACAGTTTCTCTTCCCCCACTCATTCATGGCAAAAGATGAGGAAAACAAACAAACAAACACGGTTTTAGTTCCTCTTTTTCCCTAGTACATAATACAATGGTATTGATTCAATGTGCAATTGTATGTTGCCTCCATGACAGGTATCTTTTTCAAGACTTATGTCATCCAGGATTATATTCTGGTAGCAGAGGATTTAAGGCAGTGTCTAGAAGGCCACCAGCAGAGAAACCATGAGTTCCATTTCTGAAAGACTATGGGTATTTTCTCAGAAAAACCAAGTTTTTCTGACAAAACTTCTTTCAACGCCCAGAAGTAAACACAAGCAAAAATTGCCACTTGCTCCTTCTATCAACAGATCATGTCCACTGTGTTACGAAACAGTGGCAGCAACATCCACTTCTTTGAAAAGGTGTAAAGCAATGTAAGTAGTCCATTCTGACAATGGGCTGGCTCTTTCCAAGAGGAGCAAAGATTTTAAAAAAGTGGAGTTAGTTTGGCAGTTGGTTGTTAACTGTCCAACAAACTATATAAATTGCTCAGCTTCACTAATTATAGCTAGAGAAGAAGCACACAGAACTACCAGTCGGTGTGGACAGAACTATCTTTTCCTTAAAAAAACTAGAATAGATAGCTGGGAAAATAATCCTGCTGCATTTTGGTACTATTTATGGTTTTTATTATGATAACCAATGTTGTTAAGGCTATAGCCAGGGCCTTGTATGCTCCAGGGCCTCTGAATTTGTTATAGAATTGTGCTCTAGAATCTGTTTTCAATTTTAAAATAGTGCATTTAGCCCATATGTTTGTTATAAAAATGTTGAAAATGTAAACTAAGTATAAACCAATGCAACATGCTCTTCCTGAGTGTGCAGAGGGCCTGAAATAATAGTTCTAAGAGAAATGAACTAATCCATACATCTCAGTAAAGGTTCCTGTGGATGTTTTGATTGTGACCATAAAAATTGACATTTTTCCAAGATGCTGAAGATTTCAGGTGGTTTACAGTAGAATTTACCATTCTACTATTGCCAGGTACCTAGCATTTTGCTTTTTAGTGTCCCTGAGTGGCCTGCACCTGCCTCTTACCAGATTTTTCCATAACAGAAAGGTAGTTATGCTTCAGTGCACGCCTCCTGTATTATTTCAGACAGCAGGAGGTAAGAGAGCCAGAGCTGGAGTCCAGAAAAGACAGAAGTATAGGCAGAAATCCTTTAATTCAGCATGGACCTATCTTGAGCAAACCTTAACAGAATTACAGAAAGCATGAATGCCTCTAAACAATAAAGAAATTGGGAAGAAAGGAGAAAAAAAAAATCTTAACATGGTTAAATGGCAAAGTTCAAAAGGTTTTTCAGTCCAAACAGATATATATCCTTCAGAACATGGAAATCCAAACCAAGTGAAACCAGTGGAAAACAGAATAAACTATGGTAGGTAAAATGCAAGCTGGAAATTCAGAGGCCAAAGAACTTGAAGAGGATAAATAGCCAAAGGAGTAAAAACAAAATATAACAGAAATGTTTAAGTATATTGGAAGCTTATGACATCCAAAGTATCCAGATTTTTTCAGGCACTAAAAGGAGCAATTTGAAAATAAGGACAGAGGAGTTGAATGATTATTTGCATCTGTCTTCACCACAGAGAATATTTGAAGAGAGAGACTACATTCTGATTTTGTCCTAATCTGAAAAAATCTTTTTTTTTCTTGGAGGAAATTTACAAAGCCATACAAATGTTATTTAATAAAACAGAAAAGATTCTGATTCATTTTGTAAGCATATTTATTAAAAAAATACAAAAATGAGCACACATTATCCACAATGGAAAAAATTGCAATTCTTTCAGTAAAACAATAGAAAATAGTAGTTAAGTCCCCCAGTCTCCTAGGTAGTTAGAGCTATCTATCTATCGCTATTCTGCATTTTTTCTTGAAAACTGATATACTTTGACTAATTTATTCACATTTTGAGCATCTAGTTTACTATAGTTTTATCTGAATTAGTTTGATGGTATGCAAAAAACCATCACTTGACTGATCTTCAGCAGGCTGATGAGTATTGCATATCTTCTAAAAACTGACACAATCGTGAATTTAATTGTCCTAACTTCCAATCATGTTTCCTGTACAAGTTGACACTGTTTTGATTCCACAAACTGTGAAACAACCCATTCACAAACATTGATTTAGAATAGAAATCTGAGAACTAAATTTTAAATGTTTGAAGAGAAAGAAGGAAAGAAGTATATTTCACTTGTTATCCTTGTCGTCTCTTCTTGTTCTTCAAGCAATCACTTACTTCCTGCCACTACCTTCAATTTTCAGCATGTTGATTTTAGATGTATGCACTCGCAGTGTTGGTCATCGCCTATCACATTTATAGTAAAAATAACCATTTTGTGAATTCAACAATAAGACGGAAAAATAAAACGAGGAAGAGAGCATTATACAATAATTTCATTAGAAGCTCTTCTTGTCTTCTGGATACGTCTAGATACTAGCAAAAAAACCCTGTATCAATTTACTGCTTAATCTCCTTCCCCCTCTATATCATCTAAAGAGAGTACATGATTCTGTTGTTTTTTGTACTTTATCACTGGCATTTCAATAGCCACACCCCTTTCTCCAGTAACCAGTGACCCCATCCATTCCCTTTCTCCTCTGCCCTTCTGTATAGTAATATACCTTTTTTTTGGGGGGGGGGGGTTCCTAATAGTAACTTGAATTTTGTAACTACCATCTGAACTTTTTAGAATTAAAGTATGGCTTCACAGATTGAAATTGATACAGTAACATAGCTAGTATTGGAAAGCAAAACAACTCTTCTATATATATTATTTATGTTCATTTAAATACTTCAGAATAACTCAGGAGTTCAGTAAATAAAAATAAACTGGAAAAATGCAGAAGAAAACAACATTGCAGTAATGTTTTTCAAAGTACTCCTTCCTCTCCCAAAAAAGACTTAGGATTTTCACAGTCCTCAAACATAGTTTTCCTCCCTCAGGAAATAGAAAAGCAGTGCTGGAAAAAATTAAAAATGTACGGTAGTAAGTAGTAGTCACCGGAGTACAATAATTCCTCATTTAACAAGGTAGATATGTTTCAGAAAATGATCGTGCTAAGTGAAAACGTGTTATGCGGGGTCAATTTTCCCATTGAAAATAATGGAAAAGGTGGGGGTTGCGTTTCAAGCGCACGTGCACTTGCAGCTCCAGCTTGCACTTGTTAGCAGCTGGGACCGGGACATAAGGTTGGGGGAGAAAGGGGACTGGGTTATAGCAGGGAGGGGGAATATTTGGCTCTGGAGAAGGGAAGGGAAGGACAGGTTAGGGGGCTTGCAGCTGGCGGCTGGGTTTCCCTAGCTGGCCAGTCAGCAGCAGCTGTGCGAGGCTTCCCCTGCCTCCCTGCAAAGCGGCCGAGGTTTGCCGCTCACCGTGCTGTTTCCCAGTGGCCCCCTCTTGCCGGATGCAAGGCATCTGGCCAGAGGAGGTCACTGGGGAATGGTGGGGTGAGCGGCAAACCTCTGCCGCTTTACAGGGAGGCAGGGGAAGCCTCACGCAACTGCCAGCCATTGGCCAGCCCTAGGAGAAATCGTGTTATTGCGGGGATGGAGTCGTGTTGTTTGAAAAAGTTCCCTAAAAAAAAATTGTGCTATCGTGAAAACGTGTTAAGCGGGCACGTGATAAGTGAGGAATTACTGTAGGTGTGCATTTGTGAGGGACTTAGGAATTAAATGGCTGACATGTTTCCAAAATTATCCTACTGATAAATCATCTGAAAAGTGGGTCTGTCCCACGAAAGCTCATCACCTAATAAACCATCTTGTTAGTCTTTAAAATGCTACTTGACTGCTTTTTTTGTTTTATGAAGTTCAGACTAACACGGCTACCTTTGTTACTTTCCTACTGATAGGCATATTATTGTTGTCTGTGATTTATAACTGTTCAATAAAATACATAGGCATCATTGTAGGTAGCTCAGTAAACCTGGAACTCATGAGCAGATCCGTGTGTAACAGTTGAAAAAACATACAAAATGTTTGAATGCATGAGGGGTGGGTTATAAAAGAATAGTGAAGTGATTTTAATATTATTCCATATCAC